TCACTGTTTATCACTGCCTCTTATTTCTCCCAGATGAAACGTAACGTCTCTGAGGCATCAGAAGACATCGAGGCTGGGCCAGAGACACGTGACTCTACCTATCATGGATGCGTCCAGGACTCCCAGCTGAGATCAAGGTCTCATTATGTGACTGGACAAACACCCAACAAGAGATGATCCCTGCTTGCAGGGGACTTACCAGCTAATGAAACAAAGGCAACTAACAAGGGCAGAGGCAGAAATACAGTCAACTCGCCTGAATGCTCCTCTCCCACACCATTTCCCTTCCAATGTTTCAAAGCTCTCTCTCTCAGACTCTTTCTCACTTTGAATGATAAGGAATACACGCAGGTGTTGCGTGGCCTGGCAGATGGCACCCACGGCTCTGCACATGGAGCAGGCTGTTAACGCAATTCTGGCTGCTGCCGCCCATTCCTCCTCCAAGGCACTTTGCCATGGGGTGGCTCCTGCTAATCACACCATGACCCCACGCTGACTGGCCCTGGCAGAGCTAGGCACAGCAATGAGGTAGCCAGAAAGACATGTGGCTGGTGGCAAAGACCACACGGCAGAGCTGGCAAGCAGAGACATTTGGAGAGAGAGGCCAGAAGATGCTGTGCACCACTGTCTGCGAAGATCGCAAGGTTCTCCTGGTGTGTGTGAAAGAAAACTGCTGGGTCAGCAGTGAACTCTTTTTTTTTTTTTTTTTTTTTCTCCTTACTTTCTCCCTAGTGCAAACTGGCAGCCCCATGCCAGTGCTGTGCTCAGCACTGTGAATCCAGGTCCACAGAGCCCGGGTTGCCCTTTGCTGAGGGCCGCCCTTTCCTCATAACATTTGGAAGATGGCTCTTTCTCCTCAGCCACAGGAGACTTGTGACTCCACAAGGCACAAACTCTCTCTTGGAGAACGTGCTCTGTACTGCCAATGCTCCCTCAGAATTCCTGCTTTGCCCTAGTCTTGAAAACAGCTCTAGGATTACGTTTCCAGCCCTTTCAGCGAAGCGTATCAAAATTTTGACTGTTTCTGCCACTTACAAGGAACCCTTTCCTTCCTCACAAGAACCTCAGAGTGCTGTCCTGGATAACACTGCACATAAACACAGGGAAAAGAGCAAACCCTGGATAGCCAAAACAGATGCTGAGCAGAACTGAACATCAGAGATGGAAAGGACCTCTGAAGCTGCCCTGTACATATCGCTGCTCAAGCAGGCCAGGACTAACAGCACCATCTCTAGCGCTCAGTGTGCACCAGTCTGAAGTATAAGTGTTGACAGAGCATCAGCCGTTTCCTGAAGGAGGTGGCATGCAATCTGCTTTTGCAGCCTATGAGTTTTTTGTCCTAACCGTCCCTACCCAAAAGGCCACATCAACTCATAGGAGTTTTCCACAGCATTTTGAACCCATTGCTTCTGGAAAACTTGAGTTAGTCCACCTTCTCATTCACACCTTTCACAGGTCTGGATTGCTACCCTAGCGTCTCCCTCAGGAACTGCCAGTCCCAGTAGCAAACTTTTACTTCCTTTGAATTTTCCTTGTAAATTAATCCCAACTGAGCTTTAAGAGGCCAGAACTTCCACTGAAATTGTAACAGCTTTAAGCATAAGGACAAGCACCGTCCTGGCACTGGGAACCTCTCAATAATTATGAATACAATTTCAACTTCAGGGCACTATCCGTATCTTTCTCTTTCACTGATAAGCATATCCACACCTGCAATGCGTGCCCTACATGAGGGACAGCTTTCTACACTACTTGGTGCCAAACCCAACACCTCAAAACTTGGAGGCCAACAAGCATCAATTTACAAAAGGCGGCTCTGCTCTGGCCTCAGCTGCAGCCTTACACCATCTGGCCGAGGAGGAGTCACAGTGCAAGAGCTTACATATGGCCTTGGGGAGTCAGGTGACGGGCACACCCCAGTCCACAGTGGGCTGTCTCTTGGCCCAGAGCACTACGTGCACAGGGGGGATAAGGGCAATGCCATGCCTCCAACAAAACTGCAAGATGCCCTTCTGCCAGTTCATGGCTCAGAGCTACCACAACCCCTACTCCCACCTACCAGGAACAGGTACAAAAACAGTCTTGCTGCAGCCACTCAACCACCATGTGTTGTTTACGTCTCAGACAAAGCTCCAGGAAAAACAAGTAGTAAGAGAGGACGTTCCTCACTTCTAATAAGTTTGAGCATCTCTGAGGAGCAACCGTGCTAGAGGAAAGCACTGGTGTGAGTAATACTGCTGCTTTTTTCAGGCCTGAATTTGGTACAGTACACAAGAACATCCTCCCCTCTCAAGCCTGGTGTGGCTGCCTTTCTGAAGATCCCCTCTAATCCGTTCATTCTGCTGGGCCAAACGTGCTCTCCCTAGCTCCTCTTGCAGGACAGGCTCCCCACTCCTCTGAGCATGCTGGCAGCCTTTCTTTGCACCTCCTCTATTCAAAATCATCCCTGTGAGCACAGGGGCTCTGAGCTACACACAGGATTCCAGGTTGGGCTCACTTGCACCTTGTGCAATAGCCTAGGTACTTTCATCTCTCTACAGAAAATACGTCACTTGATGCATCCCTTTTTTCTGCGTGGCCATATCACGCTGCAGACACTGAATGCAGCCTGCTCTTACTTCTCTCCTTCCCATTTCTGCTACGGCAGCCCCGCAGGCTACCCAGCTCCTCGCTCTGCCATGCCACTTCCCTGCGCTGACAAGGGGTCCCAGCGCAATGCCATCAGAGCAGGCTCCTAACACAAGTGGGAGTGCCAGATTCAACTATTTCACCTCTCTCCGTAGCCCAGCATTTCTCTTTCCCAACACAATCCCACCTCACTTCCTCTTATGCTTCTCATATCCCGTTATTACCTCCAGCTTCACTAATGACCCAGGTGGTATCCAAGCAAACGCTGAACTCAAACCCAGACATAAAGCCACCTCTACCCCTTCTCCTCATCTAGAAGGTTGATTATCAAAGAATTATGGTATGACCACACTTCATCGCGTTTCCCATTTATCGCCCTCCTTACAAAATGTATTTAACCCTTGGCATATGAGGTAGGTCAGACTACCCTGTAGGTGCCTAGGTCACTTCATTTCCTAAATTTAAATCCAGGCACTGCATTTGTTTCTCTCCAGTATTTGGGTACCCTCCAAAATTTGGTACCTTTCTGAGAACTTGTCCGCTTGTGGGCCTGTCACTTCTCTGAGCTCTGACAAGGGACCGCTCCCTCTCCCCCACACACACTTGAGTGCATTCAGATCTTTCAGGATTGGTGTCCACCTTCTGGAGTGGCACTGCTACCGCTATGTCTCATTGATCTTCATTTACTCCCATGATCATCACCAATTTTTTTTGAGTCTGTCATGCCACCGTACAGGAAAATTCCCCCTCACGACCCCAGCATGAAACAATGCTGAGGTATCTGCCTATGCCCGCGGACAGCCTGAAATAATAATTTGGGGGGTGTGCAACCTGTACCTTGTTAAACTCTGAAAAGAAAACTGAAAAACATTAGGTTAAACCCAAACATCAACTTAGTTAACTGATCGTTACCCTGTCATGAAGCAAAACACTCACACAAGAGACTTACAACCTAAATTATAATACCCCTTGTACCTTCCCTCGGGCTAAAAGCCTTAACTCAGCCACCAGCATCACTGACCATCTCCCAGTCTGGAAGATCACCAGAGGTTTCCAGCGCAAAATTCTACAACCCAAAGACAAACAAAAGTTTAGGGACTTCTGCAAATAATACTTTAAAATCCCCGCACTGAGCCATAAGAGAGAGGTACTATAGACCACCACACCTGTTCTCAGACTTAACTTAACAAAATTCCTTGTCTCAAATCATATTTCAAGCTGCTTTTAAAGTAGGTTTCAAGCTGCTGCGGGCTCTTTGCCTTGCTGCTTTAAGTGACTAACGAGGATGATGCTTTTTGGGAATGTTTGCCTGTAGGGAGAAGGCAGAAGACACAAGGAAACTCACTTCCGGATAGCCACTGGACAGCAGCGACTCTTGGTCGCTGATATTCAAGGCCAGTAAGCAGGACCAAAGACACACTTTGATCTCCTCATCTGTAAAGTCAGTCTCACTCTCCTTCTGCACAGGATGAAACCCCAGCTGCCTTTGACACCTGATGCCCAGTAAGGCCAGAAAGAACAAAACCAAATCAAAGAGAAGACAAAGGACACTCACGCAGCCGGTTGGGGTTAGCGTGTTGTTTCAGGAGATCAATGGAGCCCAGGCTGACCACCAGGCGTCTTCCAAACCAGAAAGAGACGAGCGGGCCGTACTTCTCGTGGAGGTTGAGCAGGAACTTGTGGAGGCTGCCGCTGGCGGTGATATCCGGCAGGTTGCCATCCCTGAGGGACGCAAAGGGGGCGGCGGGTCGCGAACAGCGTTCAGCCAGGCTGAACG